TTTATCATATCTAAAATGCTTGGCTGCGCCTCGCGTTTTAATATGATAAAATGCTCCTCCTCATGTTTTAAATACTACTTGTTTAATTACAAAGGTTTTAGGCTAAGTTTTGAATATTAATTAACCCAGATTTGTTCATTTTATCGCCCAGATTTGTCCCTTTTACTGAAATATAATTGCGATCTTGCAATATACTTGCACATAATTGACATTTAAGCAATTCCAAATTGAAAATTGTGACTACGCAAACTAGCAAAGTTACATTAACTTCCGCTTAGTGGCGTTTCTATCAGGTCTATTATAGCTTGGAGCATTATAAACCTCTGCCTCACAGGGTAGACAGCACCAGGACAACATTCAAAAATGGCCTTGACAACATGGTGCCACCGCCTTGACAACATACATTATGTGACGATAAAACTTTTCGTTCAAATGTTCAAACATTTCAACAAACCAATTGGCATTCCAAGGTCAAGTGAAAATCACAGTAAATGAAATTCTGTGAAATCTTCTATCCTAAAAGGAAAACACAACATAAGTATTATATACAAACCTCAAAGTATAATAACTAAGATTTAAACCATTCAGGATTAGTCGCAAAAGCAAAAAATTACAGTTGGACAACTTTTTGTAGTAAGTAATGGATATATTTTACAACAGTTTGCAAAACATCATAGAGCCACCTTAATATAATGTCATGAAATTGAAACAAGGAAAGCCAATAAAAATGGCTAAATTCTGCGAGGACGTCCCACCCCGATTTTCTTCAAAATTCAATATTTTAGCCTACATTACGTATTCTTTCCTCACAATAAAGCTTACGACTGTCGCACACACAGTTTAGGAAAACTATTGGATTTTTACATCCAACCTCTAAATATTTGCTCCCATTTCAGACTTTCAACCAATGTATCATAATCAATATTCCAATATTTTTCTTTTCAACTTTTCACAAGTTCCATTTCCCATTCTAATACTACTATTGGTATCTATAGATGCTGTGTTTTTTATATTTTGAAAGCTAACAACAAATTTACTTATTTCATAGTAGAAATAGAAACCTATATCATTTTTTGTAAACAGTTGGCAGAATGGCTGACTTGAGGTCAAAACATAAAAAATATTGCGAGGACCTCCCACTCCGATTTCTTTCAAAAATTGTGATTTAAACCTTCACTAAGTCAACTAAACATCCAATAAAGCTTACAAGTGTCGCTCACACGGTTGTGTAGAAAATCGAATTTTTAGGCAATTGTTATACTTTTGAAATTTGTTGTCAAAATGGGGCAAATTTTATACAAATGTGTCAACCAAAATTGACACTTATTAGTCGATTATTCTTTGTACAGGCATCAAATTATGTCACTTTATATCGAGAATATCCAGCTACGTGACTATATAAAAATTATTGAGATTCATGCACGATTGAAGCAGTAATATGATAAAATATACACAGCAACCATAACTTCCATGGGCAACAAGGGAAAATAAACAACTTCTAGGAAATAAATTGCCAATGATTGAGGATTAAGGCACACAGCTCAAACCAGTTTACCGTTGCTACAAAGTGTGGTAATGGACCTCTCTTTTACAAAAAAATTCAGCAAGATATAATGTTGTTTAATGTGAAAATAGAGTTCCCAAAATTGTCATACCTGAGTAACTTCTGTCGTCAAACATCACTCCTGCTTCGCCCTTCCACAAATTGAAAGTGGTCGTTTTATTCCAAAATTGGTACATCACGGCTGTAGGAGCTCTGAGTAGACTAACCATGATATGCAGAATTCATTTCTGGTATTTATTTTAAAATCCAACTACTTCCCACTCGAATATTTGCCCAGTAATTTATCGACTTAAATTTTGACCCAGCCATTTTCGCAAAAACAACAAATTGCTCCATTTTCGCGCAAAGCATGACGGTATTTTTGAGCGCCAATTACTCGATATTCTAAAAAATCTCCTCTTAAACCAACTCGCATCTATTAACCCATTAAGCTGCAGAGCTTCCCCATTGACGAGTAAAATCGTCTGGCGTTACACAAGTAAAAAAATCTGGCGTTAGACAAGCAAAAAAATAAGTAGTGCGCACTGGGGCTCAATGGGTTAACTATACAGGGTGTATCAAAAAAAGTAAGACAATTTTGAAATTGCTCTCACTTCCACAATTCTGTTCATGAAATTTATTTTTTGATATGTATGGATTGCTTGAGTTCTTAAATTATGGAAAATATAAAAAATTTTGAAAATAGTAAATTTTGCTATCCAGGGGGGTGGTCAACTTTTGCTCTCCTAAAAGTGGCTTGCGCACGGAAATAACAAACGGTATTCTTTATTTGAGTTCATGTATGAAAAGTTCGCTATTTGTTGCATTTATGATAAAATTTCGGCAGGATTTTACCGTGTACAAATCCTCCGAAAAGCCTATGAAAACGTTACATTTTTCTCCGTTGGTGCGGTTCTTTCTTCATTACGAATTCACAAATTTGCATTTGCATTCTGATTTTAAATGAGTCATGTTAATTATGTATCTTAATTCTTTAAGTAAATAAAACTTTGAAGTGAAACTTTGGCGAACCAAGTTTATGTTGTTGCTACGGAGGAACTCTGATACCATAAAAGCTCTCTGTTGCGGGGTAAATTGTGGCATCGCCATTTCAAAGTGTACGGGGTATTATACGAGAAAAGGCGTTTCAGCACAAATAACTCGAAAGCACAAATTCCATGGAAATTCCATGGAACTCTCATGGGAGTAAAAATGAATTCATAATGAAGCAAGAACAGCACAAACGGAGAAAAATGTAACGTTTTCATAGGCTTTTCGGAGGATTTGTACTCGGGAAAATCCTGCCAAAATTTTATCATACATGCAACAAATAGCGAACTTTTCATACATGAACTCAAATAAAGAATACCGTTTGTTATTTCCGTGCGCAAGCCACTTTTAGGGGAGCAAAAGTTGACCACCCCCCCTGGATAGCAAAATTTACTGTTTTCAAATGTTTTTATATTTTACATAATTTAAGAACACAAGCAATCCATACATATCAAAAAATATATTTCATGAACAGAATTGTGGAATTGAGAGCAATTTCAAAATTGTCTCACTTTTTTTTATACACCCTGTAGAAACATTGTCAGATTTTTTTGTTAACTCATTAAGCTGCAGAGCTTCCCCATTGACAAGTAAAATCATCTGGCGTTAGACAAGTTAAAAAATAAGTAGGGCGCACTGGGGCTCAATGTGTTAATAAGTAATAGTGCCTCTGTCAATAACAAGAAATTTTATGTTTGCATGCAGTCAAGCGATTTAATTTGGATTGGCAAAAATGTATACAAGCAATTGTGCCAAACAAACAGTGTGGGAAAGGTGTGGCTGTGTAGACCTAGCTAGTCTAGTGTCTCGGTTGAGTTCTATAAATGAGTGTCCGAGTCAGTCTGACCATGTCAATCAAAACATGGGTTGGTCTGAAATAATGTCAAACCCAAGTTTTCAGCATTATATTGAACTCTTGCAATATCTGAACCTCTTTATTTCTGAAAGCATTAAAATATCAAATGTTGAGTAGGTTGGTCAGGGTTTTGGTCAACCTCGTACCCAGGGCCTTTGCGCTGTTCAGAGGCTCTGGTACGGGAAGCAAAGGCCCTAGTAAACACTGGTCACGTGACTCCAAAAATATTGGACATTTCGTAATAATTTAGTTTTCAATCCGGGGGGGGGGGGCGGAGCCGACTGATTTTATCAAACATGGCAGCGCGAAGTCGCGACGTTTTCGAGTTTTATTATTAGAGACCTTACGATTTTAGGACGGCAACGCGACGGCAACGGCTACCAATACAATAGATCATTGAAAAGAATTGATAAATTACAATATATGAATAATTTAGACATTGTCCTCGCTCTGTTTACAACGCCAAATCACAGATTTCCACGTGTTGATACAACGGCTGTATTCCAAGTCGCAACAAGTGCAACTTCAAACTGGGTTTAGCAGAACTCTTCCCAACCATAAAACCCATGTCTTCAACTTCTAAAACTGTATTAAATTCATACGATTGATAATATACCACGAACTATCTTTACTACCATTTATTTGAAGGAGTTTGTTTTGGCCGTCGCCGTCTCGTTGCCGTCCTAAAATCGTAAGGTCTCTATTATGATAAATAAAACTTTCCTAGTGAGATTTGAGAGTGGGTATATATTAAAATTATGCATTCTACGAGCTTTCTTTCAACAAATTGTGGAATAACGAACGGTAATACTTAATTGTCAAAGATCGAGGATCAAACTGAGAGAAAACTAGTCAAGTGATCTGTCTTTAGAGGCCTTTAAACTGTCTATTTTGTATAAACTGTCTATTTTGTATTCATGCAGCTGCTTGTGTGCGACTTTTTATAAATAATTAAATAAACATTGTTGATTATAAGTATTTTTTACGTGTTGACCAAAGAATATCACTTGGGATTTTATTGTTCTTTTATGGAAGGATAAATACTCAGTAATGTGCCTGTATAGTGAAAAGGACATCTATGGAAACGAAATTCTTCATGTGTAAACACGTAGTTATCAAAGCAGAATATTTTGAAACAATTAATTGGTCGAGGGACAGGTTGGTTTCCTTATGTATGTAGTTTAAATAGAATTGTGAATGAAATTATACACAGTATCTTATCTTGAAACCTTTGTGTGTAAGTTAATTACTTAATTTCATATTTATTTTTTGGGATGTTTATTTCTCATTGTCTGGAAGAGAGGAGAGGGGGCGGGGTTACTAATCCTGAATCATGAGAAATAATATCCAGTAATCTTGAAACATGAAAAATAATAGAAGGAAGTCCTGAAGCACAAGTATAGAGTAAAACATTTATTAGGAATCTGATATGTCAATGGACATGAAATGTAAGTGTAATATCCAAGTTTTATTAACTATAAGTTGTTCTTCAAATACAACAATATCAAGCTCGCCATGCTCTGCTCGCAATGCGGTCCAGCTTATGTCCTCCCAAAGCATTGTTGTCTATATACAGTACGTGACGTTCACGTCATCATCACACTCCTCCCTACCTTCGCATTTAATACTTTCTAGCTTCAGAACATGCAAAACTATAACTCAAAATTTTTTAATAGTACCCTGGACCCTATTTACTAGTTCATAAGTTAATGACCGAGAATTGCCGAGTCCGGATCATGATAAAAGTTTGTTCGTTGTCTATCCCTTGCAGGGTACCTTCTTGCATCCTCTTTGTTTTCTTGATCCTGTTCGTTTCTTACTATCTCATCCTCTTCTTCGTCTGACGGTTGATCATCAAGATGGTATTGTCGCTCTTTTTCACCAAGGTTAAGACGTTTGAAATAGGATATGTTTCTGGTAATTTGATGAGAGTGTCCTTGGGCTGTAATCGTGGCACCGTGGACTTTGATCACTTTGTAGGGGGCTGGATTGAATTTTGTTGAAAACTTTTTCTTCTTTTGTTGTTTATATATAACCAAATCACCAACGTTAATCAGAGTCTTCTTTGTGTGCCTCGCCTGATCAGTATACCTCTTCATTTGACTTTTGGATTTGTGATCATTCTCTTTTGCCATGATATGCTTGTCGATTGGTTTTGATGAAGTGTATTGTTGTGGTAACTTGGTGCGAATTGTTCTGTTAAACAGGAGTTCGGCTGGGGCAACTTTTGTGGTGCTGTGGGCAGTCGCTCAATAGTTCAGGAGGAAGGTGAATAGTTCTTTTTTCCAATTTCGGCCCTCTGTTCCAGCTGTTAGAATGGACTTAAGCAATGGTTTCATGAATGACTCCGCTTCTGAGTTGCCCTGTGGCCATAAAGGGGTGACGGTTACAAACTCAATGCCATGGATCTCCATGTATCGCCTGATTTCCTGTCCGTTGAATGGAGGCCCATTGTCAGATACAACTTTGTATGGAATTCCATGCAATATTCTGTCCAGCTTCGGGATAAGTGCGGCTGCTGATGTTGAATGTACAATTTCGACTTCCGGGTACCGGGAATATGCATCAGTTGCAACAAGTATCAGCTCTCCGGTCGGAAGTGGACCTAGAAAATCTATGTGCAATGTATGCCATGGTGTTGGTCGCATCTTTGACATTTTGAGTGGTACTGGAGGGTGGGCTGGAGTGGTGGTCTGGCAGGGGATGCAGGCATCGATGATCTTTTTCACCATCGAATCAATTGATGGGAACCATATTTTCTCTCGAATCAACTGTTTAGTTTTGGTTAAGCCTTGATGACCTTCATGGGCCAAATCGATGGCTTGTCTTCTCAGGGATGTTGGTATAACTATTCGGGTGGATTTCAGAAGCAGGTCATTATCTTTACTAGCAGTCAACTCGGTTCGGATGCTATACAAAATACTAAGTTCCTGGTTGTTTATGTTTGGATCTGTCAAGTTGCGTGCCTCATGCCAATTTCCATTCTGAATAATTTCATAGCAATCTGCAGGGTTGCATCTTCTTTCGTTTGCTGTTTAATTTCTTCCAGGCTGATGGACTTTGGAGTAGTGTGCTGTGCAATGAAGGTGATTTACTCTTCTGCTAACTCGCCTTGACGATGTGTTGCACTTGTGTTCAGGGGGTGTCGAGGCATATAATCAGAGGGATTGTCCTTCCTGGGGCTATATTGGACTCGAACACGGTATTTGTGAAGACGTAGGAACCATCGCTCGATCCGTGCAGGAGGTTTGGACTTAGGGTTATTGCAGATCAACTCTAATGGTTTGTGATCTGTATACAGGGCAAATTCTGTTCCATATACATATATAAATGTGAAATCTTTCCATTGCCCAAACAATGGCGAGGGCTTCGCGTTCGGTTTGACTGTATCTTTGTTCAACGGGACTGAGTGCTCGACTTGCATAGGCAATCACTTTGTGGTCTTCGTTTCCTGAGGTATGCTGCTGTAATATAGCACCCAAACCAGTTGGACTGGCATCGACTATGAGTTCTGTGCATTTGGTAGTATCAAAGTATGCCATAACTGGAGCTGAAGTCAGAGCTTTTGTTAGTGTGTTCCAGGCATTTTCATGGACTGGTAGCAACTGGAACTTCGCATTTTTCTTTGTGAGTTGTCGAAGGGGCGTTGTAATGCTTGCATAGTTTGCGATAAACTTTGAACAATAATTTGTCATACCCAGCAGGCTGCGGACTCCACTCACATTGGTTGGACGGGGAGCATTGGCGATGGCTTCTATTTTCTTTGGGTCCGGGCTGACTCCATCTGCAGAGAAAATCATACCAAAGAACTCCAATGTACCCTTGTTATAAGCACATTTCGATTTGTTGAGGGTGAGGCCGACTTGTCGCAATCGTTCAAATACAGTTTTAAGGGCTGTGTCATGATCAATCTGTGTTTTACCAAATATGAGTATATCGTCACTGATGTTGACAACTCCGTCAATGCCCGCAATGGCTTGGCTGATAGCATACTGGAAAACTTCTGAGGCTGCTGATGTGCCATAGTTAAGTCGTACATTGCGGTGTAGTCGTTTATGGGTACGAAGAGTCGTAATGTAACGAGACTCAGGAGCTAAGAGAATTTGGTGGTATCCGTGGCGAAGATAAAGTTTTGTGAAGACTTTTGCGCCATTTAGCTTGTGGATAAGTTCGTCAGCAGTAGGCATGGGATGGCGCTCACGGATTATCGCTGTATTGGGCATACGCATGTCAACACATATTCTTGTTTCTTCTGGGTTCTTCGGTTTTGGTACTACAACTAGAGGCGAAACCCAAGGAGTTGGGCCAGAACAGGGCTCGATGATACCTTGTTTTGTTAAGTTATCCAGTTCGTGAGTTACTTTCTCCCGGATGTGAAATGGTATACGCCTTTCTGGTTGCGCAACCGGCTTGACGTGTCGTTAGGGTCTATGTGTAGCTTAAGTTCGAAGTTTTTCAGGCACCCGATTCCTCTGCATAAGTCCCTGTACTCGTTTGTCAGACTTTGAATGAATTCAGTGGCTTCTGCCTCAGGTGTGAATTCGTTTGGCACTTTCACAGTTGTGTTTATTTTTGGAGTTGTGTTTACTTCCGGTTTGTCTTTGTTTACACTGTGTATGTTCAATGTTATTAATCCGAGTTCTGCTGCAGTTTCTGAGCAAAGTAAGTTGCCATTGTCCCCTTTTGCGACATAAAATTTGGCGGTTGTCATCTTTGTCTTCGACTCGACGATTTCTTCGAATACTCCCAGCATAGGAAGCGGCGATTGTGCAGCATACGCATATACTCGTGCTTTTGAACTATGTATTTTAATAGTTTTTTGTTTACATAAGTGTCGAAATGTGGTCTCGTCTATAATGTTGATAGACGCCCCGGTGTCGATGAGTGCTCGAAAATTCGTCAGATTGATCTTTAATTTGGCAGTCAAACTGTCCTTGGACGTAACTGCTGAGCTTGTGTTCACCGTGTAGATGTATTCATCTTCCGAGGATGAGTTGCTTTCATCGTCAGTATGCTGGCTATTAACAGTGTTAATTGATCAGTTGTTGAATTGGCGTGATGAGCGAGGCTGTCGAGGAAATTTATTTTGATCTCGATTTTGACTACTTTCGCAAAATGATTCATCTTATGACAAAACGAGCATTCTTTGCCATAAGCTGGGCAGCTATTGTTCTTGTGGGGATAATCTAACCCGCAATAATAACACTTGCGTTTCACTGCTTCCCGACGAGCGTACGGCGGTTGTTGGCGTTGTTGATGTTGAATGACATTCACACTATCGTCGATTTTAGTAGGGAGTTTTTCGTCGATCTTGATGGCTGCGAGGGATTTCCCGATGCCTTTAGCTTGTTTTTCACTTACTTCGAAGGAACGACCTTCAGCGAGTAAAACACTCAGAGTAAGCGTTGAATCACGAAGCGCTTTTCTCCGAAGACGCGTAGAAACGCAGCTTTGTATTATTTGCGTTTTAATTTCTCGATCAGCATCGGTAAACTCACATGTTGTAGCAAGCTTTCGAAGGCGCGTGTGGTACCGATCCAATGTTTCGTCAGTCGTTTGTTGGGCTTGGCGAAATATATAAATCTCATCCTCGAGGTTTTTCTTTGGCATGAAATATTCTGTCAGTTTTTCAACCGCTGTTTTGAAGTCATCGTCACCTCCAGTATCAGCTCGCGTTTCAAATATTGTTTGTACTTGGGGCCCAGCCATGTAGAGAAGAGCTCGTTGTTGTGTTTTATCGGTGATTTTTCCCGCTCGAAGATAAAGGTGAAATCGTTTAAGTCACTGTTCCCACCGTGTCGCTAAACTGCTGTAATCTACATGAGGATCAAACTGTGGCATCGATGGAAGGTCTACTCTTGCAGCCATAGTAAACAATATTTAAAATCCTCGTCGCCAAATGTAATATCGAAGTTTTATTAACTATAAGTTGTTTTTCAAATACAATAATATCAAGCTCGCCATGCTCTGCTCGCCATGCGGTCCAGCTTATGTCCTCCCAAGCATTGTTGTTTATATACAGTATGTGACGTTGACGTCATCATCACAGTAAGCAACAACCAGACTTAGGAGTCTTAAAGGCAAATAACAGTCTGTACTGGGTGTGCGTTCACCTATTTGTTTACATTTGCAGTTATACATCTGTTCATGTTTTATGAAATTTGAACCAAGGCTGTAACAATTTTAGACACGGCACAAGTCACTAATAACTTTAGGGTAAATATTTTTCTGAAATACTTCATTTGTCAGTTGCGTCTTGTAGTATATAATATCTTGAAAAAAAGCTGTAATTGTACCCTGTCTAATAGCTTTGGTTCAATACATTGGCAACATCAGCAATTGGGCTGTCTTAGAATTCATGAAAGACCTTTGCTACGTACAACCCCAAGAAAACATGCCTTGTATCAGGAGATCAAATTCTCTGCTTCAACCAGATTAACCACACAAATGTCATTGTTACCATTGTGACTATAGTGTTTAGAGATAATGTATAGTTAATATATGCATAATAGATTAGTATGGATAGAAATATGGATCGTAGAAGTCGGCCATATTGATTATTGTACTTCAGTAATAACATGTACGAGTTTGTATGTTTTCTGGTTGAAATATAAATCTCTTATAATAAAGACACACTAAATTGGCGACGAGGATGGTCAAGGAACAATATTTTGTTATAAAATAATGCCATAAAGTTGAAAGAGTTAGTGGATGGATAAGGATTAAATTCGAGAAAAAAAATTCATCCACATCGACTTTGTTAAATATGGCGGTTTTCAAAGCCTTTCATGGCGGAATACCAACGTTTGACCCAAAAGGTGAGCCCACCAGTATAGCTCCGAGGTGGAGAAGGTGGAAAAGAGCATTCGAACTCTTTGTTGTCGGAAAAGGAATTACCGACAAGACACAAAAACGAGCTTTGATGTTACATTGTGCTGGTATGGATGTACAGGATATTTTTGATACTTTACCAGATAATGGCAATGCTAATGATTATGATAAGGCGATCGAAGCGCTGGATACATATTTCAACCCTGCTGTTAATGTACCGTATGAAAGACATATGTTTCGTCGAATGAGTCAAGAAGAAAGTGAGACAATTGACCAATTTGTAACAAGGCTGAAACAGAAAGCGTTGAGTTGTGATTATGGGGATTCTAGTGATGAATTCATCCGAGATCAAGTCATCGACAAATGTCGTTCAGTGGCACTACGAAGAAAATTGCTTGAAAGAGGACAAACTTTAACACTTAAGCAGCTTCAAGAAATCTCACGAGCACATGAAGCTTCATATTTTCAAGCTAATAAAATTAATGATGACGCAGGACATGAAGTCAAGAAAAAAAATATCAATCGAATCAAAGGGAAGTTTCAAAGTAAATTTAAATCACCTGACAAGAAATGTTTCAGATGTGGCAAAACAGACCACTTTGCCAAGTCACCAAAGTGTCCAGCAAAATCTGCTGAATGTCATAAGTGTCATAAGGAGGGACATTTTGCAAGTGTGTGTAGAACTAAAGTCAGTAATGATTAAAAAGAAAATAAACTATACAAGAGAAGATCAGGAATCCAAAGAGGGTGACAATGAATACGCTTTTGTTATTAATCATCAATCGGATGAAAACAGTGGTTTAGTTGATATCAAAGTTGGAGGAGTATTGTGCAATTTTCTTATTGACTCGGGTTCAACGTGTAATGTAATCGATAAATCCTGTTGGGAGAAACTTAAAGCCAAGCAAATAAAATGTAAGTCGTAGAAAACAGCAACACAGATTTATTCATATGGATCAAGCAAGCCACTTATTGTTGCTGGGAAATTTACAGCTGATGTTGTATGTCAAGGCAAAGAAGTAAAAGAAGCAGAGTTCATAGTGATTGAAGGTACCGGTAAGCCATTACTGGGAAAGAAAACTGCTATGCAATTGAATGTCTTGAAGATTGGTCCACAACCTGTGATATCGGAAGGTGTCAACTCAGTCGAGGATGACAATACATTCAGAGATAGAATGATGAAAACATATTGGGGTGTTTTAAAGGTATTGGAAAGTTGAAAGACAGACAGCTGGAAGTTAACTTAGACCCAAATGTGAAACCTGTGGCACAGAGAGCTCGTAACATTCCATATGGATTACAGTCTAAAGTTGAAAAGAAATTAGATGAATTGGAAAGGCAAGGTAGCAAATGCTGAGTAACTTGCATATTACGACAAAGATGCCAAAACGAAGATTATCGCAGATGCAAGCCCGGTAGGTCTCGGTGCTGTTTTAATTCAAGAGCAAGATGGCGAAGAAAGAATCGTAAGTTATGCTAGTCGATCTTTAACAAGTGTGGAGAGACAATATAGCCAGACTGAGAAAGAGGCTCTCGGTTTAGTTTGGGCATGCGAAAGATTTCATGTTTATCTCTATGGGAGTAAGTTTGAATTGGTCACTGATCATAAGCCTTTGGAAGTCATTTATTCAAAGAATTCAACACCACCAGCCAGGGTACAAAGATGGGTACTACGTTTACAGTCGTATGATTTTACAGTCACGTAGAACTGGAGCGCAGAACATTGCTGACGCACTGTCCAGATTGACCATGAACACAAGCCCGAGTACCGATGATGCAGAAGATTATATACGTTTTGTAGCAAAGAATGCACAATTCAAGAAGTGGAGAAAGAGTCAGACAAGGATCCAGAACTTTCCAAGGTTAGATCTTGTATATTGACTGATGATCAATGGGAATCAGTAGATGTAGCATATAGATCTGTCAGACAAGAACTCAGTGTTTTGGGAAAGTTAGTAATTCGTGGTACGCGCCTAGTGATTCCGAAGATATTACAGAAGAAGGTCCTGAATTTGGCATATGAGGGACATCAAGGAATCGTTAAGACCAAACAGCGTTTACGAAGTAAAGTTTGGTGGCCAAATATTGATAAGGAGGCAGAAAAAGAATGTCGTACATGTCATGGATGTCAGGTGGTGCAATTACCTTCTCGTCCAGAACCAATGGTAAGAACACGTGTTTACCAGAATCCCATAGGAAAAAATTGCGTGTGATTTACTTGGTCCAATAGACAATAATATTTACATTCTAGCAGTAATCGATTATTATAGTAGATGGATTGAAATAGATATTCTGAAATCTACTACATCGTCAAAGATTGTTCAGTCTTTAGATCGAATGTTTCTTACTCATGTGAGTTAATGTCTGATAACGGTCCACAATTTGTGTCTTCTGAGTTTGAGGAGTTTTGTGAGAATGGAATTTATCATCGCCGTATAACTCCATTATGGCCACAAGCAAATGCTGAAATCGAAAGACAGATGAGAAATCTAAACAAAGTAATTAAAATTTCTTATGCGCAAGGAGGAAATTT